GAAATTTTGCCAAACGATGCGTACAGATGCACCTTTAAAAGCGACAAATTCCTCAAAACGTAACTCGTCTCGGTCACTGCTACGGGTCTACACGGCACGTGGCCACGAATCCATTGCCTCATCACACTTATGGAAACATTTAGGCAGCAACAGCAACATCGCGTGCATATTCTGCTGATATCAGATGGGTCATCACGAATTGATTTTCCTTTCATTCATTCTGGTACTACCATGTTTGAATACCCGGCTGCCTCTGTTGTTGTCCAGTCACTGATTTGCCACTCGTTTCTGGATGAGGCAGATTCGTTACTCAAAAAAATTTGGTAAAAAAAGATTCCAATCTGGCACCAGAGATGATCAAGGCCGTCTTCTTTGATACTGTATTGCCGCGTTCCTAATCGTACCCTGAAACAGACCACGACTACCGGACGTAGAATCTGCATCACCGTGTTGAGCCAAGCAACAACCTGTCCAAAATACCAAAGAAGATACATAAGGCATATGGGTGTGAATGAATTGCCTGTCCCCAGACATATTCAGGAAAATCAGATGTATATGCCATTCTGACCGGCAATAGTGAAAACCGAGTTATTTTAACAAACCTATGGATGCATTTTGTTGTGATATCCACCTAAATAATCCTTAAGTCGATTCTGTGCTGTTATGCTAACGCTATTGATATTAACATTCCGAAAATATTATATTAATCCTTTCGACATAATGATGGTGGCGAACGATGTAATTAATTATAAGATCCATCATGACAACAAAACCGATTATGCACCAACCTATAGAATTAAATCGAATCTTCAAATTTAATCCAACTAGGATCGCTGTTCGAACGATAATGAAACCGCACTGCTTTAAGCCCTTGAAATGTCAACCTACTTTGCACTGTTTTGATGGTCAGTTTTGGGCAGCCGTGAAATCAGAGATATAGCGAGTGTACTGCAGAGACTTGATAATTTGATACTGAACTTCGTTGGTCGCTTCTGGCCTAATTCTTGGTCACTGCTGAATGTCATTCTGTCGCTGTTTGACAAGACTGTCATTTGTCTCATCATTCGAGCATAAAAAACCCAAACCTTGAAACCCAAATGTCCCCTAATTTCACTATTGTCTTGTCCACAGCATGATTCATTGGCTAATAAAGTTCTAAAGCGAATTATTAAATGCAAATCATTTTCAAGTATCATTAACGGCACGGGGCTGGTGCTGATTTCCAACAGCAGATCGAATCGAAGGGTGACCCGCATAATTTTGGCTCAGGAGGAAAACACGCGAATAAGTAGCAAATATTCTTAATGCATTTCCGGACTGCAAGCGACTCTGAAAGTGCACAAAAGCAGAAAGTTGTGCATCCAACCGCACCAATGACAAACGCCGAAGACCAGGAAGCATAAAAAATTTGCTCAGTTGCTAGCAATTCGAACTTAAGGTACGAAAAGTCCAGGAAGAAGCAAAAAATGAACTTTCATCTGTTGCACAAAGAACAGACGAACGGAGAGAAAAGGCCAAAAAACTGAGTTTTTCATACAAATGGTGTCGACCAGCTGTTGAAAGTTTCGACCGACATGCGGAATGTCGGTGGAAGGAGGGATTGCGCATATCACGGCTTTAATTTGAATAAAACATTGACTACTGGTTGCATGATGTGTGGAACCAATTTTGCAAGAAATAATGAATATTATGATAATGAACTGTTATGGTTAGCATAGGTAACGAAGATTAAATATCGAGTTCTCGCGTACCACCGTAACAGCAGAGCAAGATGGCTGCAGGCAAAGAAGTCAGGGCTGCGGAAAGCTGCTCACAAAGTATGCAATTGTCACCACCCAGGTCGTAAGTGCAAAGACCAGTACTTTACTTGGATGATCTGATTGCAAACAAGTGTTTGACTCGGTATAATAACTCTCGCTTGCACCTTTTTGGGGCCATTTTTTGTACATCCTCATTGATCTGACAAACTTGCTGTGTTGACAAGAAAGTCTTTGAATATCTAGCGTGAGAAATTTGGGAGGTCTGATTTTCAGGCTTGACAATCGAGCGAGAAATAGAGTAAATTCCTCATCTACAGAAAAGACGAACGAAAGAAAGATCATGTGACAAAGCAGAACCGAAAGAAAATTCTTTGAATTTCTAAAGTGGTGATCCATTAGACATACAAATTAGCAGTTTACTGGTCGATAGAGATTGCCCAAAATGCCGTTTTTCAGCACAAATAAAACAAAGTGAAGTCTCTAGAAATTAAATAGAATAATGAGAGACGGACTCCGAATTTCAAATATCTGAAAAACCCAGGTGTACAGCCTCTGCTTCTGCAGATTGCGACGGTTTGAGCACGCTTTACGAACGCTACCAGAACGGAATGTGAAGCAGCTACGTTTTACCCAACCATTCAACCAAAAACCAAGAAAAAACGAAACGATACCTCGATGGACTCTGCTCTAGACTCG